CAAGGAGTAGGAAATGGTCTTCCCATGAGTATCTCAAACGGTGACAATTTAGTAGTCCTGCTTGGGGTCATTCTTATTTCAGCTAAAATAGCAGGTAAGTATGTTTGCCAGTGAACCCATGTGCCATCTGTGGCCTTCATCAGTTTCTCCTTAATTGTCCTATTCATTCTTTCTACTATACCTGAACTCTGGGGATGGTAGGGTACATTAAATTTCCAGGTAACCTGTAACCATTTGGCCAGTTCCTGTGTAACTTTGCTAGCAAAGGCAGGGCCATTATCAGAATTGATCTGCAATGGGCAGCCATACCTAGAAATAATTTCAGTGGTCAGTATTTTCACCACAGTCCTAGCATCCTCCTTATTAGTAACAAAGGCCTCGGGCCATTTTGAGAAGTGATCCACAATCACCAGTAAGTATTGTTGTCGCTTACCTGTTTTGGGGATGTGGGTGAAATCTACCTGTAAATGGGTGAAAGGGCCTGTAGGTGGTGGGAGGTGTTCATGTCTAGCCTTATGTGTGACAGTAGTATTGGTCTGTAAGCATTGGACACACCTCTGTAAGTATACCTGACAGTGGAGAGAAAGATTCAAGATTACAAAATGTTGTTGAATAAGACCCAGAGTAACCTTAAGACCCTTGTGACCCACTCCGTGTGCCTGGGAAATAAAAATAGGGGCACTGCTTTCTGGTATCCCTATCTTCCCCTCTTTGGAATAAAGGCCATTTTGGTCTTTTTCCAAACCTTGTTTTTTCCAGTATGCAATATCTTCATGGGTTGCAAAACCCTGAAGTTCTTGCAACAACTGTTCTTCTGGGCAGGTAGGGGGACTAAAAATTGAAAATATCATACGATAATAAATGGTCTGAGATGCTACCTCTTTGGCAATTCTATCTGCTAGTGCATTGCCTAGGGATATATCATCCCTACCTTGAGTGTGAGCTCTACAGTGAATGATAGACACTGTACGAGGAAGTTGCAAAGCATGCAAGAGGTCTTCAATTAATGTCTTATGAGAAATGCCTTTACCATCAGCTGCAATGAATCCTCTTTGTTTCCAAATCATTCCAAAATCATGCACAACCCCATGAGCGTAACGTGAGTCAGTGTAAATATTTACATCTTTGTTAGTGAATAAAGTGCATGCACGTGTGAGGGCAACCAACTCAGCAGCTTGGGCTGACATGTGGGGTATGGAGCTAGCCTCAAGGACCTTATCAGGTAATTGGACTACTGCATATCCAGTCTGGTAC